AGCTTTCCTTACCTCCTTCCCTTTCCCTTTTTTCCTTTTCCTTTTTTCTTTTCCCTTTTTTGCGCTCTGATTCACAATGTGACAATATATATATATATTTGACGATATATATGCTCTGATTCACAATGTGACAATATATATACGTCCTGCTGTTTTTTTGACATGTGGACAACATGTCCTCTGTCAGGACTGTTTTGATGGGATGGTTCRTGCTAGCCGTCCTGCTGAATGCTGTGCTGGCACAGCTCTCCTTGGGCATCCTTGTGAACATCCACATCATCCTCACCGTAGCTGTCCTATCTGCCGAGGTGGGGACAGGTAAAGAAAAAAAGAAGAAAAGAAAAAGAGAAAATAAGAGAAAATAAGAAAATAAGAAAATAAGAAAATATCAAAAAAAAAAATTATGTTGATCTATGGGATGTGGTATTTGCTTTGTGACAATTGGATTATCTGTGGGATGTGTCATTTGCTTTGTCTGTCTGATACACTTTCTTTCCCTGTCAGGTTTGGTTTCCTCCTCCTTATCTTTACCTCTTTTTTGCCTTTTGGCTGCGTGCAAGTGGGTCCTTGTGACACACGGGGATGGGGGCAGCCAGCGCTCAACCTGTCATCCACGTGGCTGGCCTTGTACGTAAGAGGTGATGAAGAGTTGGGGCTTTCCTTCCTTTCTTCTTTTCCTTTCGCCTTGGCGCTCTGATTGACAGTGTGACTATATATATATTGTCACATGAATATCAGAGTGCAAAAGCGAAAAAAAAAAAAGAAAAAAAAAATGAATTCGTTTTTTTATCTTCTTCCTTACAACTCCCCCTGTTCAGAACCTCTTGCGTACAAGGCCGCCCACGTGGATGTAGGTTGAGCGGCGGCTGCCCCGAACCTGTCATATCGACCCACTTGCACACAGCCAAAAGGCAAAGAGGCAAAGAAAAGAGGAAGGGAACATCCAAATACAACAGAACAGGGGGCAACAAAACAGATCCCAGATGACAAGTCCCACATGCAAGCACCGCCCCAGTCCTACACAGGCCAAACGACGGGACAAGACCAACCAGGATGTCAAAACATTCTTGTCTGCAAAGAAATAAAAAAAAGTCCCAGATACATATCTATACACAGCAGATGGCCTTGTTCGACATCAAGAAGTTGGTATTCCTATTCGGCGTCATCGTAAACAATTCGTACCGGGACATCATAAAAAACAATCATAGATGATGATTCCCACATAAAACCACCACCCCCATTGATAGGCCGAACAACAGGAAGCAACCAACTAGGATACCAAAAAGAACCCGGAGGACCGGTATAAAAGGCAATCCTGGATGACGATTCCCACATGAAAGCACCGCCCCCTCACACAGGCCGAACAACGGGAAACAACCAACCAGGATGCCAAGACAATTAAAAAAAAAACGGATGACTGGTCCCACATGAAAGCACCGCTACGCTCGCCGAAATAGACCGAACAACAACGGGACAAAACCAACCGGGATGCAGACAAGATTACCACACCACAACAAATCTACCATATCCATAGTTAAAAAAAAAACGGAACCATACATTGTAGGCAAGAGGTTCTGAATAGGGGGAGTTGTAAGAAAGAAGATAAAAAAAGGAATTATTAGTTTCTTGTTTTTTTCTGTTTTTTTCGCCTTTGCGCTCTGATATTCGTGTGACGATATATATGTATACAAATAAAGACCCTTCTGTTGGCGCACGAGCGTGCACACGCACACCTTCACACACACACACACTGCAAGAAGAAATAAAAGGGTACCTCAGTTGAAGCCAAAGTAAGGAAAGCAAAGAAAGGACTGTACAAGGAAAAAGGCAATAGAATGGTTTTACTGTGCTTCATGTTGATTGCTATAGAGGTCAAGCTGTCTCAGTTTTGGCTCTGCTCATCTTAGCGTGCTTCATGTTGTTTGCTATATAGAGGTGAGGCGGTTTCAATTTTGGATCTGCTCACTCGTCTGGGTGGAAAAGGGGTGGCTAGACAAAAAACAAACAAACAAACAAACAAACAAACAAACAAACAAACAAACAAACAAACAAACAAACAAACAAACCACAATTTTGGATCTGCTCACTCATCTGGGTGGAAAAGGGGTGGTTAGACAAAAACAAAAAAGAAAAAGAAAGAAAAAGAAAGGGGTGGTTGTGGTGACAGTCTGCAATACACACCGTTCCGAAGTGGGCCTGCGTCAGACTACCGGGGTCTTCACCCGAATAGAACGCCTGGTCATTATCGCTGTATGTAGCCTGAAAAGTGTTCCAAATACAGCTATACTGACCGGGCGTCCTATTTTGGTGAAGACGGTAGTTTCTCAGACTTACTGCGATTCTTGTCAGGGGTTTGGACCGACAGTCTGCTAGGATTTTGCAGGCTGGGTGTGAGTAAAGTTGACCACTTTTCTCTCTCTAAAAGGGTATCGCTAACTCTGGCCCACGTAGTCAGTACTTATCCATCAATCCAATGCATCTGGGCAGACTGTCTGTCGGGGTTCAACCTCCTGATGGAGTCAGTGAAAGTCTGACGAAACAGTCTCGTACAGTCATGCTTTTTTTGTGGAGGTTGTGTATAGCGAACACACACACACACACACACACACACACACACACACACACACACACACACACACCACACACACACACACACACACACACACACACACACACACACAGAGAGAGAGAGAGAGAGAGAGAGAGAGAGAGAGAGAGAGAGAGAGAGAGAGAGAGAGAGATCTTTGGCAGCAATTCAGTAGGATTGTGTCTGGAGGTGGAGATGAGGGTGGAGGTGTGACTTAGGGAAGACATTGAGCAGACGCGTAGTTTTGGGTTGTGTATTCTCTTCCCCTCCACTTCTCCTCGTCCTTTCCTTTTCCTCTTCTGCACTCTGTCCATGTATGACTGGCGAGGAAGGAGTTCATCCTAGTGTTTCTCTCCTCCTTCCGGTCGCTATTGTGAGTTTGTGCATAGGAGTTGAAGATGAACATTGAACATTTTCTACAGTAGATTCACAGCCCCTCTGGCCCCTCCATGTGTCTGTCTGACGAGTTGGGGTCATTCTGTCTGTCTCTGCTTCCTCTATGAATTGCTCATGGGTGCCGTATGGCTCAGCCGAACAACTGTGTCCAATGGGAGGGGGCACTGAATCTACTGTAGAAAATGGTCAATGTTCATCAAGAAAATGAAAGAGCAGGGATTGTGTGCAAGCGAACATAACCGAAATCATGTGTAAGCGAGCGAACATATCCGGCATTGCGTGTAATGGCGGAACATAACCGACATTGCGTGTAAGGGGGGAACATAACCGGCATTGTGTGTAAGGGGGGAACATAACCGGAATCGTAAATAACGATTGAATGACTGGACTAGGTGCGTAGTCTGTACTCACTCACTAGGATGGTTTTCCTTTCGATGGATTGAACTGCTATTACGGCCACATACGGCCACATTCAGTTGACAGAGAGTACCAGTTTGCCTTCCTTCACAAAAGTTACGCGCGGCGTACCAGATTATTAGGTATAGTGACTTCACTGCTGCTGGTTTCATTCATTGATGTTGCGGCGTGCCTGGGTTTTCTGGTGGCAGGTGCTGTGTCCGTCCGGAGGCCCACGCCCGGCTCGGTCAGGATCATCAGCCCAGGGCTAGTCGTGACCCCTCGGGAAGATGACGGTAATGCTGCGGCAGATGCCAGCCAAGGAGATCAAGCATTGGGCACTCCGTTCAATGGAAGCTTGAGGCACTCGCCTTTGGTCAGAAGTCGACCACCGGCCTCGCCGAATGGAGAAGAAGGGACGGCGAGCGCCAGACGTGACGTTGAAGACCCCTTGGAGAGTTTCCTCCCTCCCCCAACGACAGAAAAATGTCCAGAACACCTTCAGGTAATGGGAACGAGGAATATTTGTCGTTGTCAGCACTTGTTACAAATGCCGCCTACCTCATTGTTTTTACCTGTACCAGAGAGGCCCGGGGTCGCTTGCCTGGGCAAGCGGTCCACCCTGGACACTCTGCACGGCCCTCTACTGGCCCGGGTCATCCACACTGCTCTGATTGATTGATGGATGGATGGATGGATGGATGGATGGATGGATGGACGGACAGGATTGGTGGACTGATGGACTGGTGGATTGGTGGATTGGTGGCACGAGGGAGTAGTTAATGGAATTGAGGGATGGGATTAGATAGGATGGGATCGGGATAGGGTTCAATTGATAATTGATTGATTCGGTTGGTTGGTTGATTCAGTTTGATTGATAGATTGAAGTACTTTTGATGTACTGATGCATTTGATGGGTTGGTGGATGGGTTGGGTTGGATTGAATTGAATTGGATATGAATGGATTTGATTGGATTATTATATTTAAGATCAGATTGGAATGCCTTTGAAATATTTCTTTTTTTGTTTTTGAAGATTGGATTGGATTGGATTGGGTTGGATTTGATTGGATCGGGTTGGATTTGATTGAAATTGATTGGGTTGGATTGGGTTGGATTGGGTTGGATTTGATTGGATTGGATTGTGTTGGGTTGGATTGGATTGACCAATCGATTGATTGATCCTGTAGAAAAACGTTGCCGTTTGCTGGAACAAGTGCACACCTATCTGCACGTGGTTGTTTTTAAGTGCTCCGAACAAGACGTCAGGAAAAGGTATTCAATCGTGAATAGGTTTTTGTAATTTCACGGAAATCTTCATAGCACAACAACGGGTATGGTTTGGTATTCCCCTTTCTCCTGCTGTGCTTGTTTTTGGACGATTATATTATCCTCTTCTCCCTCTCTGTTGCCAGTTTACCGGCCAGTTCTGTTTGCCGATGTATATGACTATACATACATATATATACGGTCGGTCCGACGGAACAGTTTGTCACAGCCCCTCGTTTGTTGTCCTCTTCTCTCTCTCTGCCTACGGTTTACCGGGCAGTTCTGTTTGTGACGATATATATACGGTGTACCGGGCAGCTCTGTTTGACTGCATATATATTATATATCGTATATATCGTCAAATATATATGTATATATACAGGGTTACCAGCCCGTACGTACGGAGGCCCCCGGGCGGACCTCCGTACGTTCGGGCGTTCGGGGTCCCGTAC